AGCCTCAACTGAACGCAACAAGGAAAGAGTGGATGAGATCATTCAAGATGACAGGCATGTGACTGTGGACACAATAGTCTGAAAACTTGGAATAGGGCACAGTGCAGTACAGGAGATGATTGAAAGCTTGGGTTATAGGAAAGTTTGTGCTCGTTGGGTCCTGCAGTTATTGACTGAAGACCACAAAGGTCGGCGAAAAGCCATCACCTCAGAACTGTTGCAGAGATGTTGACACGAAGGCGATGATTTTTTGCTCTGTTTGTGACAGGTGACGAAAGCTGGTTTCACCATTTCGAGCCTGAAACGAAATGGTTGAGTATGGAATGGCACCATTTGCATTCTCCATTAAAAAAGAAGGCAAAGACAGTGCCATCAGCTGCGAAGGTGATGGGCACAGTCTTCTGGGATGCAGAGGGGTTTATTCTGGCCGAATTTCTGGAACCTGGGTAAACCATCAATGCTGCTCGTTATGTCCAGACACTGCACAAGCTCCATCATGCATTGCGCGATAAATGTCCAGGACAAAACATCATCATCCTTCATGACAACGCTCACCCCCACGCCACTTGCCTCACTTTGGAAGCAATTGCAAAGATGGGTTGGGAAGTTCTTCCACACCCCTCCTATAGCTCTAATCTGGCACCCTCTGACTACCATCTTTTTGGATTTGTGAAGGATCAGCTTCGTGGACAACGTTTTGAGACATGGGAGGCAATTCAGAAAGCAGTGTGTCAGTGTCTTTGGATGGCTTGAATGGAATTTTACAGAAGTGGAATTTTTAAACTCCCAGAACGCTGGGAGAAATGTGTACAAAGAAGTGGCGATTACGTGAAAAAAATAAAGAAAGGTCTGTAGATTGAGATGGTGTATTTGGTTTGTCAATAATAAAGCATGTTACTTTACAAAAAAATTGTTGCTCATCACTTTCATTACGACCCTCATATTAATGGTAGACAAGACTTCAGAATTCACTGCAAAACATTTTTGTTCATCATCATCATCCACAAAACAAACATATCGCTAAGTTTTAACCTGTCCATTAAGACTACTATGAAGGTCTATATCAAAATTCTGAGCATGAGTATTTAGAGGGGTTTGAACATCTCACACAGATGAGTATGAAGATTACTGTCTTCCTCTATGTTAAGCCATGCCTTCTGGTGGATTGTTAATGAATTTTTGGCAATTTCTGGCAAGTCTACAAAACTACAATATATGGTAAAATTCACAGCACCCTTTTTATCACTGAATATGTTTTCTGAAATTCCATTCATGTGCA